GATACACACCACATGATCTTCCAAGGAACCTAGGATTAGAAATGGAAAAGAAACAAGGACTTTCCCCCAGATTCAAAAGAGAGAGCCCAAAAAGGCTACTGACATTGAATTGATTCTCAGTCATAGTGATCTACATAAGACTTCAAAGACTACAAAATCTTATGGGGGGAAAAAATCTTATGGGAATAGACAGACTCATCTTTCTTTGACTGAGATACTGATGGGTTTAAACTGCCAACCTATGGTCAGCAACCCAAAGCCTGACCCACAGAAACAACAAGGTTCCTTTATCTAGAGCCAGTGCTCTGAATTTGAACTTCTAGCCTCCTAAACTGTAGTCGTGGTGTGCCAACGTAGGATAAGCATTGGACTCCTCACAATTCAAACCCATCAGCTACTCCATATAGGGTTGCTAAGAGTTACAACCAACTGAAGGTAGTTAACAACAACACACTGTAAGAAAGGTAATTTATTTGTCAAAGACACAGAACCATGGATTTGGAGTTGCCACAGTCATATGGCACATAGCATAGCCCTTTGGTCCCACACCCCTGGAGGGTCACCACAGAGACCCTACCAGGAAAATCCATACAAGTCATATAATCAAGGCGTGACAGAGCCAACATGAAGCTGGAAAGCTGATCCCAGCAGCCAGGATCTGGCAGATCACTTTTCCTGTAAGTACCTTCAAGGTAAAAGACATGCAGGGTCCCTGGACCTGCCTAATTTTCAGAGAACGTGCGTGGCTTACTACATCACTCAAAATCCCCTCAGAATTAACGAAGGACTATGCTCACATATCAGAAACAAACAACTTTCTAAAAAAGATCTTCTCCCTTCTTCAGTGTCTTAGATCATTGGTCAGCTGGTCAGTTGTAAGTGAGAATGGCCAAAAGGAGACAGGCCACTTCCAGAAGCCTTCTTTCCCAGGAATTAGAAAAGAAAACATTTATTCCCCTCTATGTGGCTGTATACTCCCAAAACCCAGGGGTTGTGATTCCTTTAAAGTGCAACATCACACTGGATCCTTGCCTGGGAACTAGTAGAGGAAGGGCTAGACCTGGTCACCTGCTTGCCCCATGTACCCATAGATATTGATCAGAAGTCTGTGGTCCTAAGAACTGGTTGCCTGGGATAGTTTGGCTCTCCTTGGGTACTAGAGCAGAAAAAGGGCAGGAACGGGGGACTTTCTTTGTCAAGGTCCTTCCCACAGTACATTATAACTACCACAGTGACAGACAAGTGACAAAAACCCACCCCTCAGTTCCCAGCCTTTCCATCCAATGTTAGCACCAGACCCAGGGACAATGTCTGCCCACCCCAGAGATGGAGGATTCAAGACCACCCCAAACACAGACCCCAGTCTCACTTGTATTCAGCCACTCTGGCTCCCAGAACATACCCAGCCCCAGGAAGTCACAGAAGACAGGAGACAGCTCCAGACACCCATGCTCAAGGTCCCCATGCACAGATATCCACACTCCAGACACCATTATGTCCAGCAAAGCCAGGCATAGACAGAGAGAGAGATCATAGCTCAAGAAAGCATTATTTCCATTGTCCCTCAGTGGTCATGCCCATACCAAAAGGTAGAGAAACCTGGCATAGGAGGGGGTGCTCCAAGTAAGTTAAGGTCGGGAGTGTGTACTAGCTCTGCCTGGGATCTTCTGGAGGCTGGCAGAGGAAAGAACACTACCGTTGGGTCAAGATGTTCACTAGGGAACACTGCAGACAGGGCTTGTTTGTGTGGAAATTGAAACCTACCCTTTCATGAATCCCACCTACCCCAGGGTCTCCAAGACCTTCTGACAGGCATGAGGTGCCTAGGTTTCTGCAAAGCCATGTCTGAAGGAGGTCATAATCAGGGATGTCAAGTTGGAAATCTGATCACCTTTAGGGAATTGGGAAAGAGCAGCTTCTCCAGTGCCAGTTCCATAGGGGTATATTTTCAGTCTGGTGAAATCAGGAGCCAGATGAAATCAGGTGGGACCTGAGCTCAAGTGGATTATCTTGCAGTTCCTCTATCATATGACTCATCCAAAGTTCAGCAGAAGCCCTACTACCTCAGCCCAGCACCAGAGCATTGTGCTGTATCTAGCATATGACCTTTTTCTTACTTGATTTTGTTCAGTTCAGTGTTACTGCAAGTCATAGACCTCATGCAGGCATCACAGGGCAAAAGGAGTTGCTGCTGGCTGGATGCAGGAAACCCCCCAGTTTCCTGAGGTTGGATAGAGAAACCAAGTTGTCTTCTTTGTTCTCCTGTCCTTCATTTCCTCTCATTGACAAACTCAACCTTGGGCACCCCACAGCCTTGACTACCCAGTACCTCCTCGCCTCTAAATCCTAGTTCTGAAAGACAATTCCATAATGATTGTAGGTTTAAGTGCCTCCTCTTTCACTCTAGTCCACCAGCTAGAACTGTGACTTTAATTGTAGAGCTAAACTGGCTTTCTAGATCCTCTGTGCTTCTGAGAATATAAGCATTCTTCCCAAGTTTCAGTCCCAGTTCTTATTAGACATTCTCAGTCTGTGGTATATGCTTACTCTGATGACCATGGTGACAACGCTGTAGCAACAACCTCTAGTTTCACACAAACCCCAACACCTTCATATGCCACCGGCAGTTGGAGAACGTCCCTCTGAGAGTCTAGCCCACTTAACGGAAGGCAACCTTGGGCTAGAGAGTAATGTGATAATCAATTGGATCCAAGGATTTTTAAACAGTTAGTGCAGGGTCAGACCTGGCACTAGGCAAAGATTGAGAGGCCTGTGGCTGAGAATCAGGGATGCAAACACATTAACCCGCATCCCCTGCTGGCTATATCACACTCTCTCATTGTTGAAAAACAGGCACAAGCATTAGAGGGCTTTGGGAAAGATCTCCTACATTACTAGGGAGGGAATCAACAGCTACAGCTGCTGACCCAGGCCATTGGGACCAATTCTGGAGATCAAGGACTCTGAGTCATGAGCCAAGAGCATGTGCCTGCAACACTTTCCCAGGTGGCCTCCTTTAAGCCTCCACCCTTTCTACATAGGAGTACGTTCCCTCACTCACTTGTGGCTCAGCCCCCAGGCATACCTGACCCACCTCTACCAGGACCCTTGTGACTCTCTAGTTCTATAGGGACCAGTAATAATATTTAAGCCCCTATCACTGTGGTGTGGCACTGAGAGTTAATGTGCCAGACTGCACATCTGTTTAAACTGTAAGGTTGGTGGTTCAAGCTGCTTTTGGAAACCCTATACAGGGACGCTATGGGTCAGAATTGACTAGACAGCACTTAACAACAACAACGGTCATTGTGGTGGAGAACTGGTAATTACCACAGTTCCCTAGTCCCTGTGAAAACTGCCTGAATGCCACCAACCCCATTTGTGGGCTGTGTCTAGCCACTGCATGATGTCCTCCCAAAGGTCTCAGAGGTTGGAACCATGATCCTTAATATATTAAGGGACTTTACTAGCCCCTGGACATAACTATGGCTCTGAAGGACTACAGAAATGCACTCATTGATTGTTCATCATTACAGAAGGCAACACCATCACTAACTCATAGATCACTAGTCTTAGAAGCCACCACTGTTTGTGGCAAGGTTTTCTGGGGGCAGCTAATTCAGCATGTGCTGGGAGCTGCCACAGTAACCACAGGGCATGAGGATGTGGTCTCAAAAAGAGAGTGCAGCCTTGCCTTGGAGCCATTAGGATAGGCCACATCACTCAGCATAGGGCAGTAGGAATGGTCACTGGCCCTTGGCATACAACCACCATGGGATGCCACAATTTCCCAAGGAGCAGAAGTCCATAGAATAGTTTCCCCTACACTTCTCAGCACCCTCCTTGGTGGCTCCCCAGGTAATATGCAGAAGACAAGAAAAAAGTCTGATATCTGATGATCCTTTGGTGGTCCCAAAGAGAAGCCTGAGAGACCCTTTAGTCCCAGAGAGTACAGGAATAGACAAGGGCTGCTCCTCCTGTCACCTCAATGATCATAGAAAGTAAGATATGGTGTGTCCAATACCCAGAAACTGTCAGCCAGGAAAGCCCAGAAAACTCAATGTCACACTTTGACCCTGATTATACCTGAACTCCATGAGATTCCAGCCCCTGTGTGTGTACGCAGGGAAGTGATGAAAACTTTCTCCATGCCAATCCAGAGCCAGTTCTCCTCTCTCTTCTCTGGTGCCTTCTTGGTTTAAGCATAAATACCATGATTTCTCCAACTGCACACTGGAATGTGATTACAGATTATAACAATAAGTATAATAACAATAATAGTAATGCCTTCTACTTGGACTTGTGAGAATTAAATCAGATATCATACACCGTGTGTCTAATGTACTACTCACTAGTAATGAGCACATCATCAACAGACCTATTCTTGCTATATTGGCACCTACGTTCCTCCACCCAGAATATCCATTTCTGATGTGCCTTACTTAATGTCTACTCTCACCCAGTTCCTCAGGAAACAAGTGCACAATTCACATCCCAAAGATGCTTGTGACCAAGTGATCTAAAATCAGATAAGACACTCACACTAGCGCCGATGCCTTAATGTGCACTAAGAAAAAAGACAAAACTCTACGTCCTTGAGCTCCAGGGAAATGCTCTCTCTTTGTTTCTTTATTTGTCTCTCTTTCTGTCTATATCTCTCTATACCTATTGTCTGCTTCTATTTCTCTATGTCTCCCATGTCTGTTTCTCTCACTATCTCTCTGACTCTCTTTCTTTCTCTGTCTCTCTCTGTCTTTGTCTTACCTTTCCCTATCTTTATTCCTTTTGGTTTCTGTCATCTTTTGATATCTTTATTTATTTCACCCTCTCTGTTTCTCTATATGTCTCTGTCTTTCTGTATGTCTGTCTTTCTGTCACTCTCTCTCTTTCGCTGCCTTCCTGTTTCTGATTTTGTCTCTCTTTTGTCTCTGCCATTCTTTTTGTTCATCTCTCTTGTCCCATTTCTACAGCTCCCCCCCCCCCGTGTGATGCTTCCCCAGGCAAAGACATTGTATTATTCACCTCTAGTGGGAGTGTCCTCACAAAGAGACCTTGCTTTCATCACCCTTTGTCACATGTCCAAACTGCCAGCTCCATGAGACAGCTCCACTGTGAACACTATTGATGCAGCAGGACTCGTGTTCAAATGAGGACTCTGCAAATACAGAACACAATCATTAATGAACTATGCCACTGATAACAAAATCTGAGAAAACTGCCCAAAGAGAAACATGGACTAATATATGTATGAATGAAAAATGAAAGACATAAATGAAATTCTAATAGACAAATTCTGTCCAGCCAGTTACCAAGAAAGAGAAATGGAAACAGGAAACACAGAGACAAATTTGGATAAAAGTGTTGTTACATAGAGGGAATAGCAAACAGTGAGATGAAACAAAAGATTTGAAATGTAAAATTAATATTCTGCTTTGCAAACTTCTACCTGGTGTGTTGCTGTTGGTTAACGCAGTGGAATGTAAGGTCAGTTGGAAAGGCATGGTTGGCAGTTCAAGCTCACCAGACTCTCCTTGGACACCTTATGCAATGTTGCTATGAGTTGGAACTGACCTGATGGCTGTTAACAACAACAACAACCCAATTCAAAAGAAAACGTTTTTTAAAAATTAAATTAGGAACTATTAATGGGTCATCCTAAGGAGCTCTGGTAGCATAGTGATTACGTCAGGCTGCTTATCTCAAGATCAGCAGTTGGACACTATCAGCTGTTGCATGGGAGATAGATGGACTCTCCGATCCCATAAAGATTTACAGCCACAGAAACTCTATACAGGATCATTATGAGTCAGCGCCACCTCCACTGTACACCAACAACAACAACAACCGGTCATGCTGGTGAGGCATCATAGGATAAGCACTCAACCTAAGGTCAGTTTGAAGTACAAAGTCAGTGGTTCAAACTCACCAATCACTATTTGGAAACCCTATACAGGGTTGTTGTGTGTCAGACCTGACTCAAGAACTATTAACAACAACAATTGGTCATCACAACAATCATCAACATCTCAGTAGTAACTGGAAGATACATTGAAACAAATTGAATTCCCAGTCAGAGTAGACCTCTAAGAGGACAACATTTGACACTGAACCAGCATTCCAGACAGAAGATGGAGGTTCCAAAGAAACAGACTCAAAGAATCACCACAGTCAGACAAGGCTCTACTGCTAAGCACAGACTATAAAAATAGATCACATGCTCAGGCTCTTTATACTTAAAAATAATCACAATTTAAAAGCAACTAATAAACTAACAACAACAACAAAAACCAGCTGGTATGCAAAAGTTTTATATCATTAGATGCAAGGAATTTATAGAAACTACCTAGAAAATTATTAAAACTCTGAAATATGAATGTATATAACAGACAATTTATATAAAGGAAATAGAATGACTAGTAAATATTAGATAAAGACAAAAACCATTTAACTGCTAGGCAGTCTTCATAGAATTATTTTAAATGATAAAAAAAAAAAATTGGTAGCAAACTATTGCCTAAAGAAATTATAACTCCACAAAGGATTCCTTCCAAGGTGAAGACTCTCCTTGATCATAGTGGAATCCCCAGCATTTAACAGTGCCACACACAGTAGCTTGGAGAGCAGCTATCTCTTGACTCCAGATGACTGGCCAGTGTCATCACTCCTCAATGAGCTCTATATCAAGACCTCATAAACACTTGCAATCCCCACTGAAGAAGTTGCTGTTCTAGACAGGAGGATTGTGTTGGGGCACATGTCACTGTGCTACGGCTACTGCATTGGTAGTACTTGTTATAGCCACAGTGATACAGCTCCAATCAAAAACTGCCACCAAAGCACATGTGAAGTATTGTGGAACACATTCCAGCAGTGCATATCAGCACCACATCCAACCTGAAACCCACCTATGGAAGCCAGAGTGTAGACACACAGAATGATGACACACTGATACCACAGAAAAGGAGGTCCAGTAATGGGGGAATGAGGTAGTTGGTGGCCTATTGACCAGATTTGGGCAAGGAAGATAGAACTGATATATTCTGATACTTCAACATGTATGTATACAGAAAGCCTCAGACTTGTGTCTGTGATCACAGGTGGGAACCAAAAATAGATAGAAAGAAGGGACGTAGCCAGTCCACTGACATGCTCCCTTATATTATAAATTGTTCACCAGGTGAAAATAATGCTTTTATCATGGAATTTATACTGCATGATCCTAAGTGAATTTGTAATAATAATAATAATAAATAAATAAATAAATAAAATATAACACATCCCATCATAGTGTTGTAATCACTTCATGTTCTGAGCTACAACTTCTGTCCCTCTCACCTGTCTATCCCTCCATGGAGCTGTGTTTTTTGGCACCATCCATCCATGACTGCTTGAGGGAGAATACAACAAAAGAGCAGAGTCCCCTGGCCAGGACCTCAGGAAATGAATCAAGGGTGAAAGCAGAAGCCTCAACCCAGGAGGCCAGCCCAGAAGTTGATAGGGCCAGGGCCTCAGGACACAACTGAACCAAAGCCACAGATGAAAGGAGCTCCATGGACACAGATCTCTTTCCAAATGGTACACCATGCCCTCCCACAGAGTAAAGGAAATGTTTACAATCACAGTCATAGGTGTTCCCTTCCTCTGGGCTACAAAAACCCTGACTTCTCACTTTAGATTTGACTACCTGCTTCTGCTGGCTTCCAGGATATGTTGTTGTTTGTTGTTAGGTGTCATTCAGTCAGTTCTGACTCATAGTGACTCTATGCATAACAGAAGAAAACACTGCCAAGTCCTCCACCATCCTCACAACTGTTGCTACACTGGACCTCATTGCTGATGCCACTATATCAATCTATCTCATTGGGGTCTTGCTCATTTTCACTGACCCCTTATTTTCCCAAGCATGATATTCTTCTCCAGGTTCTGCATGATATATTTCTCCTAAAGCAACTGATGCATAATGACGATGGATACTCACTCACCTTGGGTGTTACTGCAGTACATTGGGGTGAATTTCAAAATGGACAGATACAGGAGCTTCTTGCCAGACATGAGGTGGTGCCTAGGTCTTTGCAAAGCCATGTCTCAAAGAGGTCATAATCAGGAACATAGTGCTGGAAATCTGACCACCTTTAGGGAAGTGAAGAAAGAGCAGCTTCACCAGTGCCAGTCCCATAGGAGTATATTTTCAGTCTGGCAAAATTAGGAGCCAGATGAAATCAGGTAGGAACTGAGCTCCAGTGGATTCTCTTGCAGTTACTCTATCACATGCTTATCCATAGCTCAGCAGAAGTCCTACTACTCCTAGCCAGCATCAGAGCATGTTTGTGTGGCATACAACCTTCTTTCCTATTAATGCTGGTCAGCTCTGTGCCACTGCAAGTAATAGACCTCATGCAGGCATCACAGGGCAAAAAAAGTAACTGTTGTAGACTTCCGTTTTGGCGATGGCAAAATAGAGTCAGGTAGGATAGGCTTTGTGGGGGAGGGTGTGGAAACCCAGAGACACAGCTCTCATGAAACTTCACCAGAGCTCTGGGTCTAGCAAAAGTGTCAGGATGTCAGTTTGCCGCAACTGCCAGTGAAAAAATCATGATATAAATGAAAAATTACATTTTTGATAACGCTCAATGCACAGGACTCCCTCTGCAGACATCCCACCCAAGCACAAGTCAGTGGGTGGAGCTAAAGCCAGACTAGCACAAGAAATAGGCAATAAAAGTGGCATAGTGACATTTGCAAAAGGAGGTGTGGAGGGGATTCTATACAGTTTCTTTCTTTCTTTCTTTCTTCTTTCTTTCTTTCTTTCTTTTCTTTCTTTCTTTCTCTTCTCTGTCATGTCTTCTTTGCCCAGCCTGGATGGCTTCAGGTGGGTGGGTGCGCACCCTCCAAAAAAAAATACAGTGTTGAGACCACAACTTTCCTATGGCACAGAGAGAAAGAGTCCCATTGGTTCACAGGCAGATCCTTTGGCTGCTGCTTTTAACTTCTGCCTGTGGGTCACAGCCCTAAAGTTAATTTCTGCAGGACCATTAACACCTGCCTACCCAGAAGAAAAAAAAAAAAAAAAAAAAAGCAGGTTTAATCTGACAGACAAACCAAGTGAACTATCTGTAAAACCCCAACATAAAAAAGACACAACTATTTCAAGAATTACACTGTGTGCACACAGAAACTTAATTGACCCTCAGAGTCAAAAATTGTAAACAATCTTTCTCCCATAAACTTCTCAATATCTATCTGCGCACTTCTAGGGTGACTAAAGGAGGGGCCTGAATGAGTGGACCTGGAGCTTTCTATGGTGCACACACACTGCCTATGTAGCAAGGTGGCTGGACAGTCGGCCACAGTTTTATTTTTGGTTCAAAGTGGAGGTTCTTGTCTCTGCTTTTATATTGCTTCTACTTTTGGGCCTTTTGTTCACACATTTTTCCTGGAGGTGGGAGCATTTTCTCCTTACCTTACCTAAGAACAGTCAGTAATCATGGCCATATAGCCAAGCTACAAGCTTACCCCCATATTATTCCACAATCAAGACAAGAGCCAATAACAGCTGCTAAACATTACATGCACAAAGGGAAGCGTAAATCTTGATCATGTCCACCAGGAGATACACAGTAAGCTTACTAAAACAACAACAAACATCCATTTAAGCATTTTAAAAACTCACATAGCTACTGGAAGTGACAAACAAAAGATCTCAAACACAACTAAGTGTCTCAAAACATGTCAAAAAATAGTAAAGTATAATTGTGACAAATGCACAGAAAACAGACAAAGGCTCCCCAGAAGAGAAAGAGCAGGAATTTGCCTGAGAAAGAATTCAGAAGAATAATATGGAAACAAATTCAAATACTCCAAAAAGGGGTGGAAGAAAATAAGGAAGAAGTCATGAAAATACTACAACAGCAATCAGACAATATTGAAACAGTATTGGCAACATGATTAATAATAATATATCAGATATGGAAAATACACTGAAATGGGAAAGGAGCAGAACAGAAGAGATGGAAGCCAGA